ATATATATATATATATATATATATATATATATATATATATATATATTCGTCACGTCGACGGTAAGTTCCGCATAAATCGCGTTATATGCAAATGTGACTTAATTACAATCTCGATTTTCTGGTCTGCGGACTCTAACGGCCAACACACCATTGGGATAAAATAATTCGCCGGAGCCGTCGGGATGGAACTTCAAGAACGGCGTTCGCGCGTCGTCGTAATACTCCGTGCCCTTGTCCCTGCGCGTTTTGAACCTGTGCGACGTACAAACAGGACGTTGTGTTGCACTGATTAATTGATAAATAATAAATCTACCGTGACGGGAAAGGGAGGGGCGCCGTAATATCACGTGGTCCTCCCGTCATGGCAGATTAAAACGCTTGTTTGCGGCGCCGTCTCATTAACTTTGTTCCCCGACCTAATTGTTTACTCGTTAGTAACTAATCATGAAGTTCGTAGGAAGTCGGCTGTGACGTAATTTAACCACTTTTCGGCCCGCTTACCTCGAAATAACTGCTCTCTCGGAGCCGTCCACTTAGCTCTCTGCACGCGACCTGATAATTTATTTGATGCGATTACGTTAGGTAATCGTCGTCGGTATTATAAGAGTTGATCTGTTTTATCAGAGTTAAATCCGCATTAAAATATCATATTGCGTATAATCTCACGCGGGCGATATCTCCGCGATATCAGCCCCTCAACTTAATGCTCTCTCAAGCGCAATAACGACGTCCCACCATAAGCTTCTCCATTTATCGTAACTGTATAGATTAGATTGTTTTTTATTCGCCCTGTTGAGGTTTCATTGTAGGGGAAACCGTGGCCAGATGACACACTTTGCAGAACTTGGAAATTATAACTCAGGCAACATTAACTGTTGTGATTGATTATACAAACGTGATAAAGAAAAGCTTCCTTTATGTCTTGATGTCTACAACGATCTTGTAAACTGTATATTTTCTTTTATAATAAGCGAAATACGAACATGCCGCAACGCGACTATCTTGCCCTGGTGTCGGGCCAAATTGGCTAGCAATTCAGAGGAAGAAAGTATAAAATATGTATCCTGGTTAGTAGTTCCGGGTCTCCCCGCGAGAGGTTTCCGTACCCTTGCTGGTCTTTAAACCGCGGCCAATTTTATCTCATTCGTCTACATGCTCCATTTCAATAATCTTATGAATAACAATTGCTTTTGTTACTCGGAACAATACATTTACAGGAAACTGGAACCTGACTAACAGTACTTTACTTAAATTTATTCATTCATGATGGAGAATTTTATGCAACGATGTACATTCTGCAGAAAAATGTGAATATTTTATTAATAAAATTTGTAAGCATGGCATCGCCTGAAAAGAGCATATTTCGCGTGCAGTTATTTCGCGAATGTAGGAACAAGCCACATTGTGAAATGGGCTACTCGCTTCACATTTGCAGTGTTCTTTTACTGATATTTATGGAAATCACGTACCAGTCTAGGTACGGCTTTGCCGGTCGGGCTTCGTACCGCACGGTCTTCCTCATGATTTTGGTAATCGGCAATAGGGTCCAACTGAGCTCCACGAAGAGCGCGTTCGATAATTGGTATTTGATCGAGTTTGAAGAGTCTGCGAAACAGGAATTTCCCGTGGCTAAAAATCTGCTAACGGGAATCGATCGCGTCGTATCGTTCTACTATACGCAGCGATAACACGATTTCTACGGGTACAACACCAAGCCAGTATCGAGAACGATTTCTGTTAACCTTAACGAGCCATTTTCTACTCGTATCCTATCAACGGATTTGCCTTTGAAGCACGCTAACTTTAGTTTTCCATTAAGCTACAAAATGCCACGCTAGCCTCTCTCTCTCTCTCTCTCTCTCTCTCTCTCTCTCTCTCTCTCTCTTTCTCTCTCTCTCTCCCTTTCTCTCTCCTTTTCTCTTCTCTCATAGAACACTGTTTTTATTTCAGAAAAGCTCACGTACCGAACAGATCACTATTTTTTCCTATCTCTCCTCTCCGTTTTTCCATCCAATGAGGATTGCGCCCTGCGTCGGCGGTCGTGTCTTCGCGCTTTCCACCATTCTCGAAAAGTTTGCTCTCTTCATCGAGCGAGGCCGTCGCTTTCTTCCTCTTGCTCGGAATCGTTTCTTCCAGCCGGTCTTTATCTTCTTCGACTTCCTTCCTATCTCCACGAGCAGTCGGGAGATCTGCCTCCTCGTGTCGATCGCGTCTGCCGTTCCCATCCCGTGGCATCTCGCGCCGTTTGGCCGGCTCCCTCGTCGATATCTTTGCGACGTTCTTCTTCACGACTCGGTCGAATCGGCCGATCCGCCTCACGCCGTTATCCAGCAATCGCGTCCCGCGTTCTTCCGCGCGTCGCTGTCGATAAGGATCCCCTCTGCGATCCCACTTGGTGCCGTTTTCTTTCACCCCGGCATCCGCCGTATCTTCCACATCCCGGCTTCTTTTTCCAGCCACGGAGCGCGATCCGTCCGCTTCTTCTTCCACGTCACGTTGAGCCGAGCGGCGATCTTGCTGGCCCTTATCTCCGAGCCCGTCTAGTTCGCGCCGATACAGATTATTGTCACGTTTCTCGCGTATTCTTTCCGCCACCGCGTCCGCGGTTCTTCTACCTGCGCCGCTACGTGCTTCACCTGCCGACGCCACTGTTTTTCCGCGCCGAAGCGAACGATCGTCATTCGCCTCCGGTAGATCTCCGTGGGCGATCTCACCACGGTGATCCGTTTCTACGCCTGGTCGGGCCTTCCGCTCTTCTGACCTCACCCGAATCGCCTTCGATCCGAACATCCTGCTAGGAGATAGGAAAATAGCGAGCAAAGTCGTCTATCGCAGATAAGTGCGGCTTAACGAGCGCAATTACAGTGGCCTGCAAGATCCGTGGTCTGATGAGTAGCATAGTAATTTTCTATAGTTTCTGATAGATTTTTTTGCTATGCTGAATTTAAATCCGACCGCAAAATGTATTTATCACCCTTAAATTTTGCGAAAATTGGGATTAGATGGGACAAAAACTGGCTTTTTTACGATCTTTCAGGTTTAAAAAGTGCAAAACTTTGTTGTTAGCGCTATTGCTGTAGTTAGATATTCAAAAGAACTGAATAAAGTGCGCAAACTTTAATTTTATTTTTTTCCAGTAAAATTACTAATTAAAGGATCTATTTTAGGCCCAGTGGAAATGTGCTAACTATATTCATTTCCAGTAGAGCAGCTGGAAATCGTAAAAATGGCCTGTTTTCTGGGAACTTGATCTCAATCTTATCAAAATTTACTAGTGATGGACACTTTTCGTAGCCGGATTTGAATTCGGCACACCAAGATTTATTAGAGGCCGTAGAAAATTCCCATGCCACTCGTTGGGCCCTTAATTTTGCAGTCCAGTGTTATCTGCGAGACGCGTAGCGAGGTCCACTCGTTGAATAGTAGATTAAGACGTCTCGCTCTGTCGCGACATAACTTCACTTGAAAGAAATTGCACGAACATTAAGCCTTCATGCGTTTCGTCGGTGTGCAGTATATATTGCGTCGACAATTCACTTTATACTGTGCCAGGCCAAGCTTCGTCACTGATAGCGTCGCCGCGGAATTCGCAGATTTTTAAACGAGGTCGCGTTTCGCACGTTCTTCCTCCCCATTCGCGAATAAAATTACTTACGAGATTTAAGAGAGTCCTGTTCTGGATATGCGCCAGCGGCACTACGATATTATTAGAATTTTATGCAATGTGAGGAACGTCGTGCGCGGGGAACGTTATCTCCCTGCGGGTTAGCGAACGTCGCGATAAATATAAATAAATAAAGAGATAGTTGTCGCGGCCTGTATTATTTATAGAGACTGCGAAACAATTCCGCATGGTGTAACACACGGCGTTCTCGTAAGACCTATTCGGGACATAGCAATTCGCGAAGTTATTAATCGCATAATTATTAAATCCGCGGCCATACGAGACGGTATAAATATCTATGTTATTCGCGGTCCGTTGCCTATGGCTGTTAAGTAGATGAATTTTATTGTATGACTTATTGGATTAGAGCGTTTTTTCCCAAGATGATATTTTTTACAAGAAATATAATTTCTAATTAAAATATAATTTCTAGCAAAAAAAGAAATATCTCTTTTGTATAAAAGTATTTTTGTATAAAAAAAATATCTCTTTTGTATAAAAGAAATATCTCTTTTGTATAAAATAATTTTCTTTTTACGAGAAATATGATTTTAACATAATTTTTGCTGCAACATTTTCCCCGTATAAATTTAGAATTTTAATTAAGAATATTAAATTAAAACAGAACTTTGGTTTTTATTGCATAGAGTAGAACCATATTTTCTTTCGATAAAATTTTATGATATTTTTGTAAAGAGTAAATTGTTCTTTGGAGTATATAATAATTAGTTTTTCTTGGTTTATACATTTTGATATATTTTGAAACTATTATCAAGGAAATATTCCTTGTTGAAAATAACCATTACTTGAAAGAAGAACAGTAAATTGAATAATCGCTTTTCTTAGCAATAGAATAATTTTTCCATGTACCTCGGAGCATTTGATCGCAGCATATCGTACTTTCCGTCGCTTCTCTCAATAACGCAGCTACTACCTGAAGTTCTTAGCTGCTGGAGTACACGGTAAACTAATGCAAAGTTGATTCAATTTGCCTCAAGTAGTTTTTCACCGACGATGGCGTTGTGGGATGTTTTATCGCAGTTTCGAACTGAAAAATCCGTGCACAATTACGCATGAAATGGCGGACGCATTTATCAAAACTTGCGGATTGTTTGCCACTGTGTTTACTTCGTTTGCAATATGCTCCAGTGTACCGGTCGATTCCGACACAGAGTGTATTGTGAAAAGAATCCACAAATAAACCTGCTCGCTCGATTGTTCGTTCGGACGGTTTCACGCAAACGTTCGATGTCATAACCTTATTTGAAATTCTCGATACGCCTTGCAGGGGATCTTACTTCAATGAGCAGGGAAAAATATTTGAATCCACGAGATTCCTGGAACAAGCCGCGCGGCTCGTCACGATCGGGCACGGTAAAATAAAATTAATTTCGCGTTTAAGCATGCGAGAAAATCGATTTCCGATAGCAGTTATTGCGTAACTCGGAAATGCGTTTCACCGTGTAACATATTAGCTCGATCGATCAGGTGTGACGCGTGGGCGGGTACGTGGATGATAAAAGGTAGTGACTTCAATTATCCTATACATTCGACGAGCACGTACGCAGGCAACATTCCCGATTGTGACTTTCACTTTTGCGAATTCTCTCTTCGACGTGGCAAAAATGATCGTAAGATGATAATCAAAATAGTGTGCCCAATCGCTACAGAGATAAAAGAGTGCGATGGAGATCGAGAGGTATTATTAAATCGAATATTCGGCCAAATGTGGGAGATAAAATTAATCTGCTTGCAAAAGCGAAAGTCTTGCAGCCCATAAATCATTATTATACGCATGAATGAGCACTTGCGAGACTATACTAGTTGCTAAAAGATTGCTATTCATAATTGCAAATTATTTACGATCTTCGACTGAGCGCACGATTATTATTTTAAATCTGGCGCTAATCTATCATATGTGTGATGTTGTTTCCACTTATATATCGTTGATTTCACGTCACTTTTCATTGAAAGATTTTAATTTCTCTTCACACAATCTAACAATAAAAGTTTATGTAATACCTCATAAAATATGCTTATATATATCTGTGGTAACTTTCAAATTGACAAGGTTGTTGAACCAAATAATTGTTGGAGTGATCGCTTCTTTTTGTCCACATACTGTTGTTTTGTTGTCATATGCGGTATCGATTATGTTTTGTTGTCACACGTTTATCTGTACATATCGCTGCACGCGTCGCGAGCATATAACAGAAGTCGACCGGAGCAAGTTTGACCTTTTTTGCTTTTGATTTCTCCGCTCGTTTTTGCGTCTAAAGTCACCATGTTTGTCGCTTTATAATTTGTGCTGTTGAAAATTAAGTTGTTCTGACGAGTCACGTCTGACATTAAATAAATCTGCATTAGTAAGAAATAAATATTTATTTAATTAATATTAATCTTAATATTAATATTAATCTTACATTAATTAGTACATTTATTTAATGTTAATATTAATATATATTTGTGTATAAGATAAAAATTTAAAAATCTGTTATAATAATAAAATACACATTTATATATATATATATATATATATATATATAT